TGAGGTCACTGGATTTTTTCAATTGACCTATAACTCTTTGAAGAATAAAAGAAAGAAAAAATTGGGGGAACCTACAGAGGTTCCTACACAGCATTTAAAAAATGTTTAAAAATTAATCTCATGCTAATCACACTGTCTCTCCATTACAAATGTCAACTGGATAATGTCATTTAAGGAAATAATCGCCATTAAACGTCAGAATCACATGAAGCTTATAAATGTAGGATTTTAATAATAAAGCAGGTTGGCACACGCAGTAACCTGTGTGCTGTAAAGGGTTACAGTTAAAACTCTATTTCCTGATGAGCTCTGTCAGTAAAGTGACAATGAGTGTTCTTCCTTTCTTTATTTATTTTTTAACGATGCTGTTAGTAACTCAGACTACACAGCATTGAATGATTGGATGAATAGGGTATACAGCGATAAAAGGGAGGCTATCAGCTTAATAGTCACGATTCCGTTCTATGTTGTTAACAAATGTCACCTGAAAATGATTACTGATACTGTTCGGTTGTTAATGTAACAATTCTGTATCAGCTGCTGACGTTGTTTGGCATGGCATGCGAAGAAAAGTGACTAAATGCCATCTAGAACATCTGTGAGAGGGCGTGTCGTCAGGTGGTGACGCTAATCATTACGTCATCATTAGAAAGTTACTAGAGTCTACTTTCAAATTACAACTGGAACAAAAATTGCTGTATGTAGATTTTGTTTAACAGACAGGGCTTCTCCTCCATAAGGTAGCTTTCTAGAGAGATGACAAGCCCCTAGATACGTTTTGGAAAATTATAGAAAGGGCTATGAAGAAATGGTAGTGGCCGATGTTGAAATAAATTCCTGGAATTCCCCTAGAGAACTCAGGAAAATGAGTGAGTAACAGCGGAGACCCAGCCTAATATTAAAGAATTATACAATCCATACATCTGGCAATGTATTGGTTTTTCGTAATTAATACAGCCTCTTGTCTGTCATGAATTTATCATCAACTGAATAATTTGGGATTAGCCCATAGGTAGGTTAGCCCCACGCTGTGTTTCATGAATGTGAATGTTATTACTGCAACAGAAAAAAAAATCGTTCTGCTTTCAAAACATAGTACTTTGTTTAATGCAGCTCGTCCCTTTGAAGTACACGCATATTACATTTTTATAATCAGCGTTACAAAGCAGCAAATTCAATTACATTGTCGTGAAAGAGTTTCCGGTTTATATACTGCACTACTTCAGGCATTCAGGCATTTAAATGGCGAATTTTGTTTTTAACAAAGGATTTCTTTTCGTCTTTCCCATTACTATAATGCAGTGGGGTACCCACTGGAGTCTATTCCGTTTATAATTTCATGTTTTTTTCCATAATTTTTAATAAGTGACTCAATAAGTCGGCTTTAACCCAATCTCTCACAAAATATATCTGGCAAGTGCATGAATTCGCAGTTAATCAATAAAGAGTACATTTGTTTACAATGACTCAATATTCAGCTCAATTATTAAATTCTTCAACATTATGTAAGATTTGAAGTTCTCACAGCAATGAATTCTAAGATTATGGCCTTATGGGATGTGGGGTTGTGTAGGTTGGTAGAATAGGTACCCAGTATCTCTTCCACCCTGAAGAAGGATACAACCGGTTCCTCCGAAAACGTTGGTACCGATCTATCAAACTATATGGCATCATGTTCCAGAAGAATGTAATATGAATCTTCATTCACGAGCAAGCTGCCTCAAGGGGCAACTGAATTGCACTGTCCCTTACCACGGCATGAAGACATATGGGGGAGCTGAGGTACGGTATAGCTCCACTATTCTTGACCCAAGTACTACATGGAGGAGATTGTTCGGCTTCTTGCACCAGCTGCTTTACCCCCAGGGATGAATCCCTTGGTATTCATTGACTATGAGGCTGGATGGGCCCCAGAGCCAGTTTGGGCGCCGTCCAACCCGTAGACCACTGCAATATCGACTGAGCTATCCTGGCAACTATTCAGTATGTACTCTGTTCAAATATGGCCAGAACAATGACTACCTTAATTGAGGATTTCTGTGGTTTCCTTGGGACCCTCCACGCGAATGCAGGGTTAGTACATCAAATTAGGCCATGGGCACTTCCTTCCAAATTTTTCCAATTCATTATTCATGAACAATCCATCATTTGACTCTATGTTGCCTCAGTTAAGAAATAAATTATAATTATATTAATGTGATCTTATTTACTAAATTTATCGCCATTACTAAGGGAAGCAAGGGCTTCTTTGATATTCCTGAGATTTCCGTAAGCCATTTCATGTCTGGTCCGACTCATCTCCTCATTAGCTGTCCACACACAACTAACGCTGAACTAAATGTCTCCTTTTCTGGCCTTGCGACTAGTTTTATGGCTACAGTAATTCTACAAGTTCTTTCTGGCTTCCTAGTAATCTTCGACCATCACTGAAGAGCCGACTATAAGCCTAAGAGGAGGGGGGGCATATCAAGAAAGTCAGGCATATGAAAATGTTCCATTTCATCCCCAATTCACATGACAATACAAGTGCCACCATGAGAACCTCAAATCTCATATATTTAAGCATCTGTCGCCAACACAAACAATATGATATTTGTGGAAAATTTTTGAGGTTGGCACAACAGAATCAGTATGAAATCTGAGGTTTTCACAAAAGTGAATATGAAGATTACTGTATTCTGAGTAGTCTGGTGTATATTAACCAACAGTTCAAGGGAATCTTCTCTGAAGATAGAGGCGGAAAATCTCTGAAATGTTTGTATACATATCCACAACATTCTTTGACGTTATATTCCAGAAGACAGAAGATAGTGTCAGCATTCAATGTAGGATATACAATTTTTAATAGTGTACGGCATTATTTTTTTGTGAAAACTTGAAACAAAAACTCGGCAAACCCATAAAATATTGCGTGATAATGTTAACTAATGGATCACTGGAACTTGAATTATGAAATCTGCAAGACAGCTTGTTATACAGGATTCACCATTTTACACACAACCTGAACTACAACATACGCAAGATTCTCAAAGATTTTCATGGCAATTGGGTTAGTGTATCTTCAAACTGTAGACACATCAACATCGGACATGTTACCTAAGACACAGGATGTCTGTGTCTTGAACAGACATACTGTCCTATTCACTGTACGCATTGCCAACACATCACGAACAGCAGCAAACGGTTTCAGCTGGAGGCAATGTCTGAGAATGAACATACATTTGCACAGAAGCAGCCTGACAAATAGAGTGTGTATGAATCGACTGTCTTGAGGAAAGTTGGAAGAGCCAATTACATGAGAGCAACAGCTTTGATTTCACTTCCATACCACAGCACATGATTTTTGGTTGGGCTGTGTTTTAAACGGGGGCACGCGTTTGCGTAGTTGGTTGAGGCACTATGCTACAACCCGGAAGATCGCGGGTTCGAGTCCCGATGAGATCACAGGATTTTTCAATTGACCTAACACTTCCAGCCGCACTATGGCCCTGGGTTCGACTCAGCCTCTAACAGAAATGAGTACCAGGGATCTTCCTTGGTAGTAAAACTCCGCCAGCGCGTAAGGCTGACAACCGTACCGCCATCTGTGAGCCATTTGTCTAGAGAAAATGTGGGAGCCTCGAAGTCTCACAACCCTACGGGCCTTCACGGACTGTTATAGGATAGCTTTACTTTTTTTTACCTTTACGCGTGTTTTAAATGATATAACCTGTACAGATACATTCAGGCTTGCTAGCACTACAATTGGGATTAGAATTATGACGTCTAAAAATTTGGAAACAAAATTCACCCACCCATGGCGAGTGTTTGTAATACATTTGTATTGAAGGGGACAGCGTGAAGCATACTCACGCCATAAGCAGAGATTATGAAGACAAAGTAAAGTGAACTCAGAAATTGTATGAAACTGAGTAATACAAACCCTCATTCCACTGCTTCTCGGAATAAAATGAAGGACGCTCCGAGTAACGAGATCTGCATCACGAACTTAATTACAGTGAATTTTTGTGATATGTTTAATTAATCTCGTTCCTATTTACATCGATATTCAGAAAGGCCTCTGAATCTAATTTCGGTATGAAAAGTGTAGTCAGCTCAGGAGGAGCACATACTGCATACCAAGTGAAGTTTTCATTTCTCTGAACACAGAAGAGAAGGGGGGCGGGCTGCTCATTCTTCATTCCAAGACAGGGAGATGTTCCTCGCAGTAAGTCTGTTAAACTTTCTTCATCCACAACGCACAGAACAGACATTTCATAAGCTCAGGTCTTTTATGAAACAACTTTCAAGCCTCTTCACATTTTAGAATTTTATTTATCTTCTGAGGAATAGTCCTTAACGATTTATGGGAGGAAAAAACGAATCATGTGGGAAAGCGGAGAAATATACAGAATGTTCCGAAATTAATGCAGAAAACTTCGCGTTTCATTCATTGGTTTAAGAACAAGGCGGCAATCTTGCACGACGAAATGGAACTGGGCAGATTCATTTCACGCAAAATGGCTAATACCAAGCAGTAAAAGTGTAAATTCTAAAACTGACAGTCGCTTAGGGACACAAGAAGATCCCTGTCTTTTATATATATGACGTGGGTTCATTACAGTATTCCTACAGCCCTTCACTAACTCCCGAAAAGTGAAGTTGATCCTGTACGTAATCAAGCAGCATGTCATGAAGACATACAGGGGCCTGGACATATAGCTTCAAGCCCCAGCTGCTTTATCCCCATAGAACGAAGACCCGTGCCACTGGATAGACCTGAAAGCCAGTGTGTATGATAGGGAAAAGGGAATAATTTATCGTCCCTGCCGCAGATCGAACCCTGAATCTGCGCTCGTCCATTCGATAGTCTAGTCACGATACCTCCTGAGCTATCCCCGTTCCTAACTGATCCCTTTCCTGCAACAAACGAATCCGGCCCACTTTTTTATTTAAGAATCATTTTAATGTTATCTCAACTATATGCATGAATTGCTTCTGAGCAAACAGAATGCAGTTACCTGAGCGTCCACTAGGAGACGTCTCATTAGGGCCATGGAGGAGTCGAGGGCTTGCTGCTGGCGACTCGCAACACTGCCGCCATCTTTGAGCTCGCGTGGCGACGGGCACCGGAAGTCGGGCTCCTCTTCACCGTCCGGTAAGGCCAAAGAAGTCGAGATCTGCTCATTCAGCGAGACGAGTGCCTGAATCGCTGCAACACACAACACACAACCGCATAAAATGCACGAGCCCACAAGTCTATTCGTGGGCCCTTTCAATTACAAACATAATGGAGATTAGCGTACATTATTTTATCATTTCGGAGGAACGTGCTGCCTACATCTTCAAGGAAGACCAGTAGGCCAAGTGTGGAAAGAAGTGTTTTGAAGCAGGAAGGATGGCCGAGGACCGAAGGCTAGGGTCGACAAATAGGAAACGGTGGCACTGAGAAGTGACATACTGCGGACGTATGTTCGGCGAGGGGTGGGGGTGCAGGGGAAGGGGTTGAAGTTTTGTAACAGAAGGTGAACCGGAATAAAAAGAAATTGACAAAAATAAAATAATTTATTTCATTTTGCTTGTATCCATTTTATTCCGTTGCGTAGGAACGAATTTTGATTAAATGCAGTACATGAGTACAGTCTGCTAAACATGGAATAAAAATTGATGGGACGGTCCAAATAGATTACATGCCTGACCTTATTTCAATACAGATGCGTTATAATAACAAGAAATTAACACAGATTGTAGTCTTTAACGAACCACAAGTTACGTTAAGGTAGACGTAGGGCCTGTTTTGGAAGTGATGTCCGTTAAATGTTAGCGTTGGTTTTATGAATACGTGGGTACCAGAAATGTCAGTATGTTATCTTTGTTAATATGGTTAAAGGCTTAATCTGGTTGTCTGATCTTAATTTGTCTTCATAACTTTTACTCTTCGCCAAGTATAATTAGAATGTCAAGGAGGGTGAGATGGGAAAGGCATATAGCACAAACGGGGACAAGAGGAATGCATATAGCATTCTTGTGGGAACGCCAGAAGGAAAGAGACCACTAGGAAGACCAAGGCGTAGGCGTGTGGATAATATTAAAATGGATCTTAGAAGGATAGGATGGGGTGGTATGGACTGGATTAAGCTGGCTCAGGATAGGGACGAGTGGAGGGATCTTGTGAACACAGTAATGAAACTTTTGAGTACGTGCACAACTGGTGGCTTCTCAAGAAGGGTTCACCTTCATGGAGGTAGTTAGTTAATTAGGTCTTCATTTGTTTCCCCTTAATACACAACTAATACATGCTAGTATCTGACTAAATGACTCGTGTTTATTTAACGGCGCGTTTTCAGTTTCTTTGGTTAAAAAACTTCAACCGAAAAGGTTAGTGTAAATTATGGATTTGAATACACGTGGAAAGAAGCTGTTTGTTGGTTGCTCACTTAACTACGCTCTCAGTATCTCAGACTATGCGACATCGAATGTTTACATGATAATGAATAATGAGCTGGTGAGGACGTGGCCTAATTTAAGGCATCTGTCTGAAAGTAAGGGGGGAAAACCATGAAAAACAGGCGTAGCAAACTGATGCAGCCCATTTTAGCATACATTTCCTATTTTGAAAAAAATAAAAGTAGGTTTATGATATCGTCTTTTTATGTGTCTGAGTATCCTCTCTAACGTTGCTAGGCAACGGTTCGGTAAACACTGTCCCGCGGTAACGAATGCACTTGCAGCAATAGTTATTGAAAGTGTAGTTTTCTATGCAGTCCACGTAGTATCAAAGGAAAACAGTCGATTATTTAACCCAATAATTTATTGTTAAAAATTATATCTTCAGGAAACCATTTAGGACCTCAGCCCGAATACAAAGGCGATATAGACGTTGCACCCAAATGAGCTATGTTTCACGCTGAGGGGAATACTGGCATGGAAGCCAGAGAAGTGAAGACGCCCTACACAGACAAGCTGCCGGCCACTCTCTGGCGCTGAGGAGCCTCCTCTGAGAAATGCATGCAGTTCATATAGCAGTAATTAATCCCGCAGAATTCCGTGTTCCGTTTTCTTGTGTTAAATTCAGCAACTGGCATTGCACTGACAATAACGGAAGTGCATGCATACCGCAGCAGTTTTGGGGCCGCCGATCACGTTTAATTACGTCGAAAATCGTAAAACTCCACAAAACAAGCGTACTAGTAAACTAGAAAGGTTTCATTTCCCTCTGCTAGGCTAGCTCGCAAACATTTTCCTGGCAGCATTTAGCGAGTCAGCTCGGAACGCAAACAGAAACGCAGGTAAGTCTTCCTTAGAGAAACAGTCGCTGTTCATTGTGAGAAGCGCACGGAACACACAGCTACACTCTGTGGGCAGAATGCACAGTTTTAGTGTGTTCAGTCCGTGCCCCACAGGAAACATTACGTCTCCGCTACAAAGCCCAACCGGTTAATGCTGTTTAGGGAAACAGTCGCTGTTTACTGTGAGAACCATACGGAACACACAGATACACTCTGTGGGCAGAATGCAGTTTTAGTGTGTTCAGTCCGTACCTCACAGGAAACATTACGTCTCCGCTACAGAGCCCAACCGGTTAAAGCTGTTTAGGGAAACAGTCGCTGCTTGCTGTGAGAACCATACGGAACACACAGATACACTCTGTGGGCAGAATGCACAGTTTTGGTGTGTTAATGCTACTGGTACATATAGTAACCACTGGGCCTTTTCTTTTTTTATTGCTGTGGGGTGGGACTAAGTCCCTTGTACTGCGGCCACTTCTGGCCTATTGTACCAGCCCCAGATGATATGTGAGGGTGATTGTGGAGCAATTGGTGGAATGAAGATTGGCAGGGGAAACCGAAGTACTCGGAGAAAATCTGCCCGAGCCACTTTGTCCACCACAAATACCACTTGACCAGATCCTGGATCAAACCCGGGCCGCGGCGGTGCAAAGCCAGCGACTAACCGCTTGAGCTATGGCGTGGCCTGGTACATATAGTAACCACTGGGCCTTAAAGGGTTATCTCTTAGGTATCTCCTTATTCCATTCCAATCATACTTCCTCTCAAAATGGAACAAGCAGATGTAGTCAAATTACTTTATGTGAGACTGAAGAGATTGGTCTAGCTTTCGAGGAATACGGAAGGCTTTGTTTTGCCTATCACTGAGGACTCCGTATGGAGGGGAGCACTTCATTTGCTTCCTGCTATCGCAAGAAGCAGCACGGCGTAAGAGTTCTGTTATGGCGCTAATCATGTTTGAAAGGACGAACCTACAGCCACCATCTTGGCAAATAAATAGAACACCCTGTGTTCTTGTCACGTAGCATATATCACGTACACTTCATGTTACAGGATCCAGAAAGTATATTAGAAAAATCAGTGGTGTCTATTTGGTTAACGGCCAAAATGTGTGATATAATTTCTGATATGAAGATTACTATGTTCTGGGATGTGACGCCGTGTAATCTGGTAACATCGGCTTGTTGTCAACCAATTAGTACATTCTTTTTCTAACAGATGGCATGAATGAGGTTCTCACAGCGGCGGTTATGAAAGTGCTGTTTCCTGGGATGTAACGCCCTGTTTTCTGTTGAATGCTAACCGACTACACGGCGTTATATCCCAGGAGACAATATTCTTCACGCCTTCACACGCTCTATACTACTGTCTCAATATTGGGTGGGTCCCTGACACCACGGCATGGCGCGTCCTCAAGGTGCGGATAGGGGAGACACCCTCCAGGTATGGAGGGTGACTGCGAATACATATTGAATAGCAGCCGCAGACAGTAGAAAAGAGGTGGTCCTGAGGCTTGGGGGTTTGGCGTGGGGCTAACAACTTCTCACCTTAAAACATAAGCTTGTTACGAAATATCACAAGAGGCCTCGGATATGGACGGATTCCTTGGATAAAGGACCTAAGCGAAAGAAAATGAATATGAGATTTGGTATTTGGAATATCTTAGAGAGATGGGATGGGATTGTATGGATTAAATTGATCTGGCTCAGGATAGGGACCAACGGAGGGCTCTTGTGAACACGGTATTGGGCCTTCGGGTTCCATAAAATGCTGGGAAGTTCCCGAGTAGCTGCACAACTGGCGGCTTCTCAAGAAGGGCTCAACTCCATGAGTGAGTGATACGCATTGTCTTTTGAAGGTAGTTTGAGGAAATGTTGTTTCCTTTTCTGTGCAACTGCACTGACCCCAAAGCAGCCTCGGTGTTCCTGTGACAGGGCTTAGACAGTTTACGGTTAGTAAAGGGCACACTGTTTGTTATACTGGTAATTCTATCTCGAACCGTTTAGTATGAGAAATAAAATATACACGTATATACAACACAAATATTTTTCTAACATTATTACAGCAGCAGCAGCAGCAGCAGCAGCAGCAGCAGTAGTAGTAGTAGTAGTAGTAGTAGTAGTAGTAGTAGTAGTAGTAGTAGTAGTAGTAGTAGTAGGAGCAGTAGCAGCAGCTGTTTCGAAAGGCAAAATACAGAATACTTACCTTTTTCGAACTGGCTGTTTTGTCGCGCGAAGGCTTTGGAGAATGCGCTAAACACAGCGCTGCGTGAGTCCAGCATTACTCCTTCCGGTTCCGGCATTTTGACGTCATTTCTAACAGCTTACCTCTACTGCGGGTGTACTGGCCATTGTTGAGCGCACTAGTCTACAGTGAGAACTCATGCAGGGCGTGCTCTGTCAAATGAAAATGGTAGATGTAACCACAGTACACAAACACTGACCGCCCTGCTCTCCTAGCTTCAAGATAAGTATGTAGCTCTGAACTGCAAAAAGTTTTACTTTTATAAATAAAATAAGACCGTGATTTAAATACTGTTGATGTAAACAAAATAATACTAATACAAAGTCTTTATAATTAAATAAAGTATAAAATTAAATATTGGTTAATTCAATAATAATACTAGGAAAAGTAAAACATTCATATTCTGGCTGTAGAAAGTGATGTCTTTTAGGAATTTCTTTTCAAACATCACGTAATCCCTTACTGTTACCAGCAATTACCGACTGAGAGAAAAATGTCTACACGATCACTTGAAGCTCTCTCTCTCTCACGCGGTATCATAGTTGGTTGAGGCATTATGCTAAAGCCGTAAGATCGCAGGTTCGATTCCCGATGAGGTCACTGAATTTTCAATTGGCCTAATCCTTCCAGCCGCACTACGTTCCTGGGGTCGACTCAGCCTCTAACAGAAATGAGTACCAAGAATCTTCCTGCGGGGATGGAAGGCTGACAACCTCGCCACCATCTGTGAGTCGACTGCCTAGAAAAAGTGGGAGCCTACGTCTCACAACCCTATGGGCTTAGCTTTACCTTAGCTACACGATACGCAAATTATACAACTTATGCTGGGCACCTTGACTGCTCAACAAATATACTAATTCTTCTTAAAATTAAATTAAACTATTATGAATTAAGCGATTACTATATAAATTAGGTATAACCCTATGTTTGAATGGGCAAAGGGCTGGGGTGTGGGGAGAAGTTCTGCATGTACAGGACTAATTTCGAAGGGCTGCGTTTGCGTTTAACACTGGGAGAGCAATTTTGATGTTAGCACTGAGAGGGCTGCACTGCACGCTGCGTCTGCAGTACTCCAGGGGCAGAGCAGAGACAACGGGGACAGACAGAGAAAAACACTGCAGTTGGAAGGTTCCTAGGCAGTGCCAGCCAGTTTGTCTGTAGAGGTAGGTTTGAGAGAGCGGCACTAGCTGGAGGTGAGTGGTTAGCTTCAATTCCCCGGCCGCTTTACCTCCGGAGAAAGAGCCCCGGGTTCCCTTTGGATAGGAGGTTGGGTGTACCCTAGAGCCGGTCTGAATGATGTGAGGAGAGAAAATTCTTGACCCTACCGGGACTCGAACTCCGACCCGTCGGTCGTCTAGCCCAGAGCTAGCCGCTATACCGACTCCCACAGATCAGGAGTGTTTTAAAAATTTATAACGAGCTGCATAGAACACAGTCCTTCTCGAGAAGCTAACAGTTGCTCAGCTCATCATGAAATTCTATGCGCTTTAAGGAACCCGCAGGTTCATAATCGTGTTCACATGAGCCTGACATTGGCTCCCATCGCGAGCCAGATGAATCCAGTCCAGTATGTCCTATTCTTTTTAAGATGCATATTAATATCATCCCCTTACGGTCCGAAGTCATGACGACACTTCCCGTCGAGTATTCAATGGGCGTTACATCAATACACAATCAGTGACTTCTGTACACAGAATATTCGGAGTGCAGAGAAGACAGTGAGAAATTGCCACCCGTGTACAAAGGGGGCGCTCGCGTGCGCTTAGGTCCACACTGGACGCCCGGAGGTCAGCACAGCACAAGACAGCAGATGGATTAGAGGCGTCTGCACGGGATGACAGATGATCGCGCGACCGTCAGGACACTGCCCATTACTTCCGCGTGTGTCTCGGGGCCTCAAAACTGAACACGGTGTTGTTTTGTTTCAGCACTGGCGAGCTAGCGGGTGCCCCAAAATATAACGTTCCACTCACTCATGGAGCTGAGCCCTTCTTGAGAAGCCGCCAAGAACTTCCAGCATTTTACGGAACTCGAAGGTTCATTACCGTGTTCACAAGAGCCCTCCACTGGTCCCTATCCTGAGCCAGATCAACCCAATCCATAGCATCCAATCCCATCTTTCTAAGATCCATTTTAATATTGTCCACCCACCTACGTCTTGGTCTTCCTTCTGGCTTTCCAACCAATATCCTATATGCATTCCGCTTCTCCCCTATTGGTTCTACGTGCCCTGCCCATCCCATCCTCCTTAACTTGATCAGCTCATGTATTCGAAGCCGTTTCCTGGTAACGGCTGATGAAAACGAAGCAGGAAAAAGGCTTAGTAGATGCTTTGGTAATCTGTGAAGTCTGGAGATTGGCGATAACGTTGTGATTGCTTGTGATCCCGAGTGACGTCTGACAGTGGTCAATAAATCCATTCACAAATCCATATACTCCGTCCATAGTAACAATACTTTAGGAAGAGTATAGTTATAAATACTTTGGTAGAGCCTTCCAGTGGCAAAAATTTTAAGAAAAAATTTGTAGCAAATTGCAGAAAGATATAAAGACACACTGACAGAAAGATAATGCAGAGAGAAAGAAAAATATACAAGCAAAGAAATGAAAAGAGATTGATACAAAGAAGAAGGCAGAGATAAAGAAATAGAAAACAAGAGAAACAAGAAAACGTACAGAGAAAACATAAGGAGTTGGATAAAATAAATGCAAATCGAATAATGAAACTTTAATTCTATGGTGTCGTTCCGCATCGCGGGTTGCCTGCTAACGAGACGCGTTGGGCAACCCACAGTTTAATTGTGTTGGCATTACTCCCGAGTTTTTCGATTACCAAACTTTCCGAAGTAGCTCTCGGCGTGCAAGTGACCACGGAGGGGGTAATTAGTCGTAACTTCCCGATACGTGCGCTGCGTCAGAGGGGCACACTGGTCTTATCTCTCAATTATTCACTGGGCCCCAAACAGAATGTATCTACACTTCCCCACCCAAAATGTCACATTCTGCATTACTGATACTCCAAATCAAGGCTTTCCCATTGACTTTGCCATTACAGCACACATCTCTGACACTGCTCGATCCTAATTCGGTCCCAATGGATTGCGATAATGGAGAATGTCTGCCTACAGCTTGCAAGCACTGAAATCACACTTGATGTAAAAACACAGGCCATTAATAACTATGAACTTTACATTTACGTAATTATTCCATTCCGTACACTGGCACTAACTTCGTCGACAAGCGGCGGTCGCTCGGTCGGTATAGTTCGCTTGCGGACTCAAGACACGGAGTTTTTTTGTACGCTTTCGTCATAATCCTTCCAACCGCAATGTGACCCTGGGGTCGGCTCAGCCTCTAATATAAATGAGTACCAGGAATATTCCTGGGTGTATAAAGGGCGGCGGGCGTGTAAAGCTGAAAACCTCCAACCTGAGACAACTATTCAAAAAATGTGGGAGCCTCGATGTCTCACAGCCTTATGACCCTCCACAACCTGTTACAAGGATAGTGCTACCTTTATTTTTGTATATTTTCAGTGCTCTACTGTTATAGGCCACTCGCTGTTGGCAAGCACTTAAAGAAAGTTATTATTATTATTATTATTATTATTATTATTATTATTAGCATCTTAAAAAGTTCCCAGCGTTTAAAGGCCTCGGACTTTTTCTAGGCTGTAAAGTCTACTTTCATAGCCATGTTGATTATACTTCTTCTAGAAATCCGTGGTTTTAGTCTGCAAGCGAACTATGCCGACCGAGCGACAGCCGCTTGTCGGAGAAGTTAGTGCCAACTTTAGCGGATAGAGGGTGTAACGTGGTCAGCGCAACGAATCCCCACGACCTTTAATCGTTTATACTTCATCTAGAAGTTAAAAGTATTATATCCCAATCGTTACATTGCTCTTCTATCGGTAATGTTATTGTTTGTGTAGTGGCCCTACTCCGGTCTGAAGCCGAACTTCCGTCGCGTTGACTCACTCAACTGAGCGCGACAGGATTCAACAGACAGCTCTAGGCTTATGCTGTAGCACATTTTATTCTGGTTCTTCCAATTGTCTCATTCCTTTAAATTTAATTTTAATACCCTTCGCGGTATCGATGCTGTAACCATTCATTTAACATGGCCAAACCATTGTAGTAAGTGCTATTATAATTCTGTAACAAGCAAACGAATTTCACGTTCTTGTATCAAAACTGTATTTCTAGCTCTGTCCGTTATTTCTCTTGTAATATTTAGTTTCCCAGGGCAAAGCAGCAGAGACGTAAGGCTGGCCACTCAACTCCATCTAGTGACGAGGTCAAGAACGGTGTAGCTATACCTCCACTCCCCCATACGTCTTCATGGCATGGTGCTTAATTAATTAAGGACAGGAACAGCTTTATCTCTATGTATTTACTTCTAGACTTCCTGGTTAGATCTGGTACACAGCGACCCTAATTCCGGGCTGCAGTAGTGACACAAAACTTCCTGTCTACCGAGTGTCTTCGTGAAAGGGCACTAATTTATGGACGTAATGTCTCTTTAAACAAACAGCCACGCCCCCAGGTCCGAAATCAAGGCTCTCAAATCATACAAACATTTGTAGAGCTCACGCGGTGCGATGCTGATATGTTGTCTCTACTGTGGGTCACGCAACGCACTTCACAGCGTGAAACTCTTCTTGCAGGTCGGCTTGAGGGGGCTGGGAGGGCCGCCAGATCTCGGACATCTGTTATTAATCTGTGTAATATAACCACTGCTAACATCCGCTCACAGCTCAACGGGAAGTCACATCTTCTGTTACATAAGCTTCCGTACTATTAACTTCCGCTGTAGGATTTCAGGTCCTTACAGCGGTGGCTGAGACACTATGCTATAAGCCGAAAGGTCGCGGGTTCGATTCCCGATGAGGTCACTGGATCTTTCAATTCACCTAATCCGTCCAGCTGCACCGTGGCCCTGGGGTCGACTCAGCCTCTAAAAGAAATGAGTACCAAAAATATTCCTGGGGGTAAAGGGCGGTCGGAGCGTAAGTCTGACAGCCTCACCACCATATGCGAGCCGAGTGTCTAGAAAACGTGGGAGCCTCGACGTCTCACAACCCTATGGGCCTTCAGGGCCTGGTACAGGGATAGCTTTACTTTTTACTTCTTTTTTTTTTTGTTTTCCGGGA